AAAAGAGGAAGACCCCCAACGAGATGGATCAGCCAGGTGGCATCATTGATGGACTCAAGTGTGGCAGCGGTAGTGAGGTTGGCCCAGGATCGAACACTGTTTCGTTCTGCTGTGCATGGGGTCGCTATGATTCGGTTCCAACTCGATGGCACCTGACAACAACAACAACAGGGATTTCATATAAATAGAATCACACAATATGTGGTCTTTTGGATCTGGCTTTTGTCACTTGTTTCTGTTAGTTGCTGTTCAGGTCAGCATCAACTCGTGGCACCCCCATGTACAAAGAAACAAAATGTTGTCTGGCCCTGCACCATCCCCTTAAGTGGTTGTAGCTTGGACCATTGTGATCCATAGGGTTTTCTTTGACGGATTTTCAGAAGTTGACTTCCAGGCCTTTCTTCCCATTCTGTCTTAATCTGGAAACTCCACTGAAACTTATTCAGTAGCATAGCAACATGCAAGCCTCTGCTTACCAGATGGGTAGTTGCTGCTGTATGAGGTGCACTGGCCAGAAATCAAATGCAGGAATCAAACCCAGGTCTTCCACATGGAAGGCAAGAATTCTACAAAGTGAATGAACAATGCCTATATTTTTAAGGTTTATTCATATTCTATTGTATGCATATACATTTCTTTCTCCATTCTTCAGTTGATAGACATTGGGTTGTTTACACTTTTTTGGCAATTATGAATAATGCTGCCCTGAACATTCATGTACACAGTTTTGAGTGAATATATGCCTTCAGTGTTCTAGGGATAGAATTGCTGGGTTATATTGTGGCACTGTAGCATAAGCACTGGACTACTAACTGTAAGGTCTAGAGTTCAAACTACCCTGGAAACCTTATACACATCTGCTATGAGTCACGACTGACTCAACAGAACTTAACAACAACATTGTAACTATACATTTAGCTCTTTAAGGAATTGCCAAGCTGTTTTCCAAAGCTGCTATATTATTTTACTTTCCCACCAACAATATATGAGGGCTGCAGTTTCACCACATGTTTGCTAACACTTGTCATTATGTGTCTTTATGATTACAGCCATTATAGTGGATGTGAAATGGTATCTTATTGTGGTTTTGATTTGTATTTTCTTAGTGATATGACATAGTTGTGCAGTGGCTTCATATGATAAGCATTGTTCTGCAAATCACAGGGTCTGCAGTTTGAACCAACCTGCTGCGTCACGGAGAAAGATGAGGCTTTCTGTTCCCATGAAGATTTAAAGACTTGGAAACCCTATACAGGGGCTATGAGTTGAAACTAATTCTATGGCATTTAACAACAACAAATGATTATGGTATAGTGGCTTAAGCTACTAACTATAAGGTTGGTGATGAAAACCCACCAGGCACTCCACAGGAGAAAGATGAGGCTGTCTTGTCCTGTAAAGATTTACAGTCTCAGAAACCCTGTGGAGCAGTTTTACTCTGTTCTATAGGGTCATTGTGTGTCGGAGTTTACTCTATGGATATAGGCTTAATGATTATTATGTTGAGCATCTTTCTATGTACTTACTGGACATTTGCATATCTTCTTTGGAGAAATGTCTGTTCAAGTACTTTGCCCACTGTTTAATTAGACTATTTAATTAGACAGTTGTAAGAACTCTTTTTGTTTAATTACTTTGATGGAACTCTATATAACAAAACATACACCAACTCAAAACTTTCTATATGTACAATTCAGTGACATTGATAGCATTCTTGATGCTATACAACTGTTCTTTTTTTTTTTTTTTAACTTTTTATTGTGAATTGAGTTAAGGTTACAGAGCAGATCATCTTTTTTATATTCCACATATCATATACTTTGCTTCATTACAATGATTGTAATCCCTTTCATGTATCAACTTTGCCTCTATTCCCTTTAATATTGCATTCCTCCCTGTGTCTCCTATCACTTTCATCTTTCTTCTGCTTACCTCTCTTGCTGTATATTACCTGCCCTGTCACCCATGTTAACATGTGTCTAACCTCTAGCCCGTGAATAATTTTCTGTCCCTTCTA